TTTGTTTGGTCTCAAACCAATGACTACTTAATATAAAATACATAAGCAGTCATGGGAGAAGGACTGTCACCTAGATCTCATGCCTTTTCTGGGTGACTGACCCAACCATTATGCTATAGATTCATGCTTATTCTTCTCCATGATTCAATGAACTATGAGGAAAGTCTGGAATAGGTACTAAATAGGTGCCAAAAAAGGATATGGTTCCGTATTGTGAAACCCATCTGAAACCCAGATTAGAGCCCTGAGTCCCTGAGTTAAGATAGGATTTAAGACATATACCCATCGTGGACTTTTCCTATTGGCTAAAATATGCAATTCTTTGCTTAGTGTACCAGCTTCTGAGAATCCCATTCTTAGATACCTAATTCAACCCATGTACTGTATATGGAGTCTATGCTCCTATCACATATCTATGCATTTCAGCAGGCAGCAGGAACCTCTCAGAATTGCACTGCAGAGTTTAAGTTCTTTTTATGGGCCTAGCCCTCTGTTTTCAGAGCAGAGTTTGAATAATGGACAGTAGATATGGCATGAGGCCACACACTGAAGAATAAAGAGAAACTAAAACATTGAATCGCTGCTCTTTCGGTGAGTACCAGTCAGTCTTATAGAAAGACTGATGCGTGATCCATGGAAAAAATAATATGCAATCATATAATTAAGACTAGATCAGAATGCAACAGGTATATATGCAGAATCAGTCTTGTATCAGGCATTTCCTAACTTTTGAGCATTGCACTTTGCACCCTTAATAATGTTCTTCAAGTTGTGTGTACAAGAAAGACAATGTTATCAAATAGCATTATAGGTGTTTATGGGACAGACAATATGACTGACACCTCTCTCGTTAAAGTTCATTGTAATGTTATTATGGGTGTAGCTTTGAACAGCTTCAAGAGAATGTATTTATAGTGTTGGAAATGAAGTAGGGATGGAAGAATATGTGGGAGGGAGCCTGTCAATGATTCATTTCTTGTCTGTGAAAGTAATCATGTTGGTATTCATTCCATCAGGCAGAAAATAGGTCACTCACCACTCTCTCACGTTATTGAGCATTGTTGTGGTTGTAAATCATCTAAGTAATATGAATTGTATTCCCAAGGAATTACTGCTATGTTAGGCATGTATTACACATTCAAAAATACAATCAGACCTGACTGTCAGCCTGACTGGCTTTTTAACCTGCATTTTTATTCTGAACAATGGAAGGTTCAGATCAATACTGAGGAAATCATGCAAATTGTTGTAAGGACTCACAGAAGACATTTCCCTTCGCAACAACTGACTTTGGGGACCTAGTAGATTTAGGAACCTGCATGCTATTAAAGTAGATCTTTGTGGTAAAAGACACATTACAAATGAGCTTCCTCTTCACTATTTTATTATTAACCATGAGCTACATACATAATAGATTTGATCATTTAGGAGAATAACTAAAGCAGCTACAACAAAGCTTCCACGTGTAGCTTTTCCAAACAGAGCTTATTCCAAAACTATGAAAAGTCCAGTGGATGAACTGACCCCCTTTCACCCATTCACATATAAAAATGTGAATACCCCCTCCACAATTACACTTGAATTACTAGAAGCAATCAATTCTGTGTATATTAATAATTTAATAAGGTGTTACACGGAAACATTTAAAGCAAAAATGTAATGGCAGTTCTTCCTGTGAAAATCTTGTGGTTGCTACCGGGATGATTCACTTCCCGCCCCCCACCCCCTCCCCCTGTTCGAGATGGCAGCCTGACAGACAGTTTCAGCATTAGATAAAGTCAAGAAAAGAGGCACATTCTCCTGTTCTGTCACAACATTAAACAATCAGGGTCTTTGCTGAGATTTTTCTCAGGTGGCTCAGTTTCCCTCATTGATTGTGATCCCGGAAAAAGTGCTTGCTGCGCATAACTATCCAGATAATGCTGCAAATTCCAACCTAATCAGAGAAACTGCCTATTCACTTTGAACAACAGTCACAGGCCTGGGAGACTCCAGCCTCCAACTGCAGTCATGCCTTGGCTCATTAGTCCCATGTGCCCCTGAAACTAAACTGTGAAAGGGGTGTTTAGCTCACAATGCACTGGGCAAGGTCTGAATTAAATTCCTGCGCAGGACCAAAAATAGAACACTTTGAGCCCCTTTTTTGTTGGGAAAAAAGGTCTGGACAAAAAAATGCTTTTCTTGGTATTATTTAATGTGTTTTTCAGTCTAAAAAGCTAGAGATTTTTGGCCTCAAGGGGTGCTAGCCTGTTACCTTAGAGACTGTTTCTTTTAGAGGCAGTGGAGTGGCAGAGGGCATGCCTTTGCTGCTTACCTTGGCAACCATGAATTGCTAAATGCTGTTCCCATGAATGCAAGCCTTTCACTCCCATTAGCACTTGCCCACAGGTATAAACATTCTTTCATGAAAAGGTCCAGGGGAATGCACACTGCGTCGATAAAAATCAAGACGACAAACAAAAGCATATTATATAACGGAACAGTTATGTAAAATTCGATTTTAAAACAAGACGCGTCTTTAATGACATTGATCCTGGACGTGGTCAAATTTCCTGTTCCATTTATACTCCCTACAGCCATCCCAAGTGGTGACAGTGGGGGAGAGGGCTGAGGGAAGGCTCGACAGGCTGCTCTTGTGTCTGTGATTGCAGCATGGAAGACCACTGCATCTGAACTCAGAATAAAATGTACTGGATGGTTTCATAGGAACAGTGTGACTCCAGTGGTCTCGCTTACTGGCAGTAGGCTAGAGGCACACAAGAGCAATGGAGATTTGAGTGACTGTGCAGCGGCACTAGCTCCCCCCCATAGTTCACAAGAAATCTTTATGTTCTTGCTAGGCAAACACTACAGGCAACATTCTCAAAATATTTACCAGTACACAGCCCTTGTGCTGAGAAAACAAGGGATTTGTTGTGCCCTTCCTGTAAATGAAGCTATTATGAGTGGTGGACTTCAGTTCTAAACTTAATTCTTACTTCTTTTTTTTTCCCCTTTTCATCAACTTTTTTTTATGCCTTTCCCTTGTAGTTTTTCCATGATGAAGGTTTCTAGGTTTAACTATTTGTGTACATCCATGAGGATCTCAGCTTGCAGGTTTGACATATCATTCTAACAATTTCCTTATATTTTGGAAATGCAAGACAGCAGGCTACTCATGCTGGGGGCACGCCCCACAGACAGGTATAAATGCAAGGAAATTTTATAACACACAGAGTAGCTAGATCAGTGCTTCCCAAACTTTTCCTCAGCATGACCCTATTTATGGCCCCATTTCCTCAGCATGGCCCCTCACTCTCAACCCACAACACCCCACCCTGTGACCCCATCCACTGATGTTGCAACCCCATTTGGGGTTGCAACCCACAGTTTGGGAACCAGTGAGCTAGACACTTATTTTCCATTGAATGTCAGTAGCAATTGGTCACATGAATCTCCTTTGCAAATTTCTCCCTCAGCCTGCGGTACGTCCTCAGATATATCTGTACTGCCTCCATGTCAATCCCAAGACCACTACTCAGAGAAATGTCTGGCTCGCTCCTTTTGGTCAGAAAAATGTTCCATTCTTGTTTTTGGAAGGGGAGCCCAAGGATGCTCTCAGGGTCTTTGTCTAGGGTTTGCTGCAGAGAACGGTGTAGGGTCCACTCAGCCCTGCTCTGACAGCAACCACACATGTTTTCAACAGACAGTGTATGCAGAATAGGAGCAAGGAAGTGGAGCTTGTTTCTCTGAAGACACAATATAGGCATACTCATAGAGTACCAGCATCTAACTAGTCTACACTAATGGCTTGGAGATGCATTGTAATTCACCAGCTGTTGCTAATCAATAAAAATGTGACTACCCATGAGGAAGGGCAAGGACAGCACATCACAAAATAGCCTATTTTTATGCATGGGTTGGCTTTAATTTTTCTCTGATTAAGCTTCAGTTTACGTTAGAAAGTGAAACGTAGCTTATTTGATAAAAAATAATGAATTTTAAAAGAGCTTATTGCAGCATATGGATTAAATCTTTGCTGAGAGGAAGAAGAGGTAGGAATTATGAAGTGTGGGGTTTAGTTAGGCACAGGTTTGAGAAGAGCAGTTCTGATGTTCCCATGCAAAATGGAGGCTTTGTGTTGTCCTGAAGCATGTTTACAGACTAGTGTCAGATTCCCCTTTGAGTGGTATAGCATCTCCCTTGTCATCCAACCTCATAGCCACCTGCTCATTGAACATGGTTCAGTCTCCTTCATATGCTATAATACTTGCCTGCTCAAACTACCTTGGTGACCTTTAACAGCTCAGACAATCAGAGTGAGTCAATCTATGAATGGCCTCAGAATTAGAGAAGCACAGGTTGGGATCCAAGCCAATGTCTCTGAGTAAGTGCATATATGCATGGACATATATACACACACACACACACATTCTCTTAACCATTCAGGATGCCAGACATGAAATAGCTAATTCTTTAGCCAGCAGACTATACAACATAGATAAGGCTGAATCTTTAAAATCCCAATGATGTGTTGAGAATGATTGAATTATTGATGCCATTTAAAGACTGCACTGATGCACTGCATGTCCTGTAACCATTTGAAGAGCTGAAACATTCAAAGATGTTGAGGAAGCCCAGAAAGCTAGCATTGCTTTTAAATTTGAAACTCATCAGCAATCACACTTGACTGCCAAGGAAAGAAAAATAGGTTCACAATAACCTAGGCTTTCACTGATTCTGATTCATCTTACTCTTCCCATTTTTTATTTTCTTATGTTTCTTATTTTCTTATGTTTTCATCTGTTTTATTTTACACTAACTGTATTTGTCACATATATAACCCTGAGTGTTTACATGCTGGCAATCACCAGCTTATGAGAGGCAAGAAGGAAGCTTTGGAAGTATTTTTTAATCTTCTGACCCAATACAAGCCTTTCGTGTATTAGATAAAAATGTTATTTTTGAAAATTTCCAATTGAGCCAATCTTTTCCCTCTTTGTATTAAACATTCAGGAAGCCTCAGACCAATGTGATACCTTGTCTAGCTGCTCAGTGCTGTGCACAGTGATCTAAACTTCTTGGAAAATAACATGGAGTTTGCACAAAAAAGGAGGTCACCAATCCAGCTCCAGCTCATAGCTTTCAAAGCCCTCAACAGACCTTATGAACAACTCGGGGCTCAGCGCGTGTAAGTCTGTCACTGCCAAATAAAACATTCAGAGCACTTCAGCACATATAAGCAGCAGCCACACAACAAGCAAGAACTGAGGAGGCAATCAATCACAAGAGAAAAACCTGGCTGGCTGGGCCATGCACAGAGCTTCCTGGATGTTTGTGGGGAGACCAGAGGTTATGTGAAGAGGACAAACAGAATGAAAAATCCTCCCTGGCCTGATTGAGAATGAGTAAGTGACCTTTTACTGGCTTCAGGATCTAATAGATTTGACAAGTTTCCCTCTCAAAGGGGTAAATGATACACTGATAAAAAAAAAATTACAAATGTCTCTTTTAAACATTCTCCCTGTTCCCTCCCCAACCCAAACAAGTGCTTGGAATTTTTTAAAACTTCAGCAATTGCAGAACTGACACAGACAGAGCATGAAGCAAGGTCACTTTTCCTTTCGAAGAACTGACTAATCATCACTGGATCTTCTGTCTTACCATAGCATCTTGCTTCCCAGCTCCTTTATATAGATTAGGCTTCTCCCTATTAATACCAAGACTTGATACTATAATAGTGCTTCAAACTGTCACACGTTAAACTATAAATGTCAACCATTAAACCAGCAGTTCATGCCACCTCAGTCACTCAACTGCCTCCCAACTGCTCCATTGTTTTATACCTTTGGATACCAAAAGGAGATTGCCCTTTTCTCCTTGCGTCTTTGATGGAACAATTCTTCTTCAAGGAACATTAGCAATGTTGAAAGCACTGAATTCTAACAACTGTGAAATTTTGACAATTTGCTTTTCTATCTTACTACTTCATTACTCATATATTTAGGAGGTCTACCAAATTGGCAGTTGACCAATTTTGTGGGCAAATCCCAGAGCCGGCCACCATTTTTTCAGGCTGAGCATAGTGGGTCCCCTCATGCCTCTGATTGGCCAAGGAGCCCTGGTAGTCCCACCCCTCCCTGCAGATTGGCACATGGCCCAAAACTGCAGTTTAATTACCCTGAATAAGCCCAGGGAAGCCATGACTCCATGTGTTATTAAGTGCAGAGGCAGCCTCCATGACTCCTGTTGCAAGCAGCCCTGCTCTGCCCTGCCACCTCCTCCTCCGTGCTCTCTCGTCTCGCCCCCACTCCCTGCCCCCCACCCTTCCCTTCTGCCATCTGTGCTCCAAGACTGCAGGGCTTCCCAGACTTTTCTCAGCCTGGTGGTAAGCTTTTTTTAAAAATTAATTTATTTATTTGCAGCGAGCCCACCAAAATCACAGAGCCCACCATTTTTCATGGAGCCCACCCAAAATCATGGTTTCTGCACAAATCTTGCAATCACAACTTTGGTAGGTCCCTCCTCATATTTATCATCATATCGTTGGGCCTAACAATGTTTATTTCTGTAGACATCCTGGAAAGAGGACTCCTATTGTTCCACTATGGAATTATTTCTTCAAACAATCTTTTGGTGCATCATTGAACCTGGAATCCTTTGATTCTTTCACTTTACATAAATGGTAACATTTTGAAGATTACATACATGGCATAGGCACCTAAGTCATATTAACGGTGCTTTGGTACCTCTGATGGTCTCTATGACTTGGGCACTTCTGAAAATGCTAGCCAAAGTGCCCTAATCTTTTTAATTCACTAGCATTGCCAGAAGTTGCTATGTTATTGTGCAATAAATCACTTTGACTTGCCTTGCAGCTTCCTCTAAAATATCTGGAACTGTCTGCTGTTGGAGAGACAATACAGAAAAACATGGACCTTGAATCTTATCCAATGCAGCCGTTCTTATGTTGCCTCCTCTTTCTATACATAGGCACCCTGGCAAGCCATACTGATTAAATGAAAAGGCATATCCAAATGTCATGGTGGTTTAGTAGAATGTATTATTTCTCTAAAGGTGTGTGCATGTGAAAGACAAGGTTCTTCGGGTAGATCTCATATGTTTTATTTGACCAACTAAATAGTTGGGAAAATTGTTCTTTGCAAGCTTGCGGGCACAAACACCCTTCTTCAGGCATAAGGAGAGTCTGCTGGTGTTTTGTGTGCAGGGTAGAACAGAAGCCAATATGCAAAATGCAGGTCTGTGAAAATGCAAATGCATGGCAGTGAGGATCAGAGGCAATCGGCGACAATAGGTATGAGACAGGTAGGTGGAGTGGAAAGAGGGAATGTTAACCTGGTGATAGAACATAATTCATAGATTCATAGACATTAGGGCTGGAAGGGGCCTCGGAAGATCATCGAGTCGGCCCCCTGCTCCAGGGAGAGGAAGTCAGCAGGAGGAGTTTGTGACCGTTCGACCTGGTCATCCCTTGGGGTGCTCTGGTGAATAGACATTCCCCCAGATCCTGATGAGCACCCCTGATAAACTTATAGGTGGCCACTAGATCACCCCTGAGCCTGCGCTTTTCCAGGCTGAAGAGTCCCATGGCTCTCAGCCTTTCTTCATAAGGTCTGCTTTCCTGACCTCTGATCATGTGCGTGGCTCTCCTCTGCACCCTCTCAAGCTTCTCCACATCCTTTTTGAATTGTGGAGCCCAAAAGTGAACGCAGTACTCCAGCTGTGGCCTCACCAAGGCCAAGTACAACGGGAGAATGACATCCTGGGATTTGCTTGAGAAGCATCTATGGATGCAAGCCAGCGTTTTGCTCACTTTACTAGCTGCAGCATCACATTGAATGCTCATGTTCATCCTGTGGGCAATCATGACCCCCAAGTCCCTTTTGTCTGTAGTGCTAGCCAGTGTAGCACGGCCGAGCCTATAAGCATACTGCAGATTTTTCTTCCCAAGGTGGAGAACCTTGCATTTTTCAGTGTTAAACACCATCAGGTGCTCATCCACCCATTTCCTGATCCTGTCAAGGTCAGCCTGAATCACCCTCCTGTCCTCAGGTGCGGATGCTTTACCCTAGAGTTTGGTGTCATCGGCAAACTTGGCCAGTCTGCTTTTGATACAAATGTCCACATCATTAATGAAGATGTTGAATAGTAGAGGCCCAAGAACAGAGCATTGAGGGACCCCACTGGTCACAGCACACCACAACAATTGACTTTTGTCAACCACCACCCTCTGTCTAAAATGCAGACAGGTTACCTGGGGTTATCAGATGTTAGGCAGGTTATAATGTGCCATAAATCCAATGTCTATATTTAGTCCATGATTTTTTGTATCCAGCAGATTTGTGAAGTGAAATTCATTGGCTCATCTACGAAAGGTGTTTTGTAAACTCCCTTTGACAATTAGAATTGAGAGATCGGAGAAAGAGTGGTTATCTTGTGAGAAATGTGCCGCACAGGTAATTGATCTTTGATAGATTTTTGTTGTGCATTCATTCTGGTACATAGTTGTTTGGTTTCTCCTACATATTTTCCATCAGGGCATTTAGTGCACTGGATGAGATATATTACATTTCTGGAGGTGTAGGTTAAGATCTAGGAATGGTGATGGTTTTGTTGTGGGGTGTAGTTATTGTGGGAGTGGCAGAGATGTGTTGACAGCTTTTACATTTTTTGTCCCAGCATGGTCTGCATATATTTGGTGTAGTTTGGGCTATAGGAAGTTTGCTTCTGGTGATGAGGTATGTAATAGGGGTCAAATTCAGTGGCAAACCTCCAATTGACCTCCTTGGGAACAAGTTGGGGCCTATATTAATTCAAGCCCTGTGAGATATAATCACAACAGGAAGATGACTACAATTTATTTTTTCTCTCATACATAGCTGCTTGAACAGGACCACATTCTTACAAGCATGAGTGTACATGGCTGTTTACTAACTCCATTCAATCAAGTGAAAGCAAAGTTATATATAACCACATAACAATTGCCCTCTTTCTTAAAATTCTAGAAGACATTTCTAAATACTAAACATGGCGTCTAAAGTGCAAATACTAGAGAGAGAGATCAGCATGCTACATATTACTAACCTCTCAGTTATCACAATATGTGCCTTTTATGTTTGAGAACATTAATACTGTGAAGAGAATGTCTACTGTGCAAAATAAAGAAAGTGTTGAATGAAATTGGCTACTTGAGCTCATCAAATAAGAAAGTATGGGATGTATTCCTGCTTCTGTCCCTGGATTCAATTGCATTGTGAGAGTACAGTGCCTACTTGTGCACATGCATATGCATCTTACATTAAATATTCCCTTCTCTGGGCAATTAGAAAATGTCAGTATTCTAAGGGTCAAAACAGTATTTCACTTTTCAGTGCCAAAGACGGTGAAATCTACTTTCCAGTTAATCTATTATAGCATCCCCAAAATTATTAGGAAAAAAAATGCAATTCCTTATCTTCTGTTTTAAAATTCCCTCGTCCAAGACACCAATTGCATTGGTTTCCAGGTTTCCTTTGTTGTGCTAAAGGAGGTTGTATTTATGAGACATCTCCATAACCCACAAAACTCCCAGTTTGGAAAACTTGAAAAGGCATTTAATTTATGAGATTTGGACATCCAGGGTTGGAAAGCACTACAGGTGTGAAATCCAATATTGAAGTCAGTTTCCATGAAATACTGAGTAACTACATATATGTGATAGACTGATCTTAGCAGCTTTCCATACTTGGGATATGGGCTATGTAAATGGAATGGTGCATACAAAAAAAAATGGCCCTTGCACCTCAGGGCATCAGACCTTTTTCTGACATTGAACTCTAGATTTCCAAAACATTTTTTTATAGTTAGGTAATGCAGGAAAACAAGAAGCAATCTGAAGTGAGATGGACAGAAAGATATATACAAACCAGAAAGGATATTGATGTGTGTGTGCATGTGTACACACACACACACCCACACACATATATGCACACACACACTAGTATCCTTTCTGGTTTGTATATATCTGTTAATATACATGTTAACAAAAAAGCAGCAATTCTTAAAGCAAGTAGATACTTAGGAAATATCTTTCTTGTTTTTGCTGTAGTGCTGAACAACAAGGTGGATTATGAAGTCCTAAGTGTTCACATGGAGAAGGCCAAGGAGCTCTAGCCGCTCCTTCAGGAAGAAGAAAAAGAAAACAAACAGAAGTACTGGCGGATCTGTAAGCATCCACCGTCTGGCAGTGGACTTGGCAGCACGTGGATTTTCTTTGGAGGTTATTAATCCTGTAAGTCAAAACTATTAAAATTCCATTTCCTTTTTGAAATCTGGATGGTACAGAAATAGGGTCTTTTGCTCCATCTTTCCCCAGAGGCTCCCTTTTATCCTCTCCCCTTCACTGATTCATATTCTAGTGCACAGTCCAATGGTTGTCACAGTTTCTTGTTTGGCAAGTAGAGCAACAAAACATAAATCTATGCAAAGCTGGTTCCCCTGCCTGAGCTTATATGCTCCCAAACACATGCATGCGATGTCACGTGTATTTAAACAAGTCAGATATTAATCAGAGCTGGGGACTAGAGGAGGCAGTAACAGGAAGAGATCAAAAGCCAAAGTTATTATTTTAATGCTGAGCTCTTTGCTAGTTTTCATTTGTCCCATTACTGCTCTACTGAAAGAAATATCTCAGTGTGTTTCAGTGTCATCACAAGGAATTTTCATTACAGGAAACGCACAGAATAAGGTCAGATGCTTTACCATTCTAGCTTTCAAGCATCTGTGTCAGGTCAGATTTGGATTGGTTTAGCTGAATCCCTCGCATCTGGGCTGTAAATTCTCTGCAGAAGCAACAGCTTCTCCATGACTCCAGTCTCAGGAGTCAGATTTATATATGTATGTATTTATTTAACACTCTAATGGAAATCTTTGTGATTAAAGCAAAAATCTCCTCATGCACTCTAAGGAAAGACATTTGTGGGGATTGGTAAGAAAGAACAATCCTTTCATTTCTGATTATTAGCTTTTCCGTTTTGTGCCCTGCTAAGCCTCCTTCCTTCCATTTGGCTTTGGGTTTTCTCCCTCTAGCCTGTTGATTCATTTTATATTAATGTAACCCAATACCAACTTTTTATAAAACAGCATTAGGAAAACAGCAAAATCTTGGAGAAGTAGCTTATCCTTCATTAATGGGCAGTTAACTCAGGGCAGTTCACACGTGGTAAAGCCCCTGCTCCATTTATCTTATGGTAACTTGTTGATATGCCCCTGTTCTTGGTTCTCTTTCAGTGAAATATGGAGTTAGCTTTTCATGTCATGGGGCTTACCTACACTACATAGCCTCTGATGGCAGATACCTATCAAGTGTAAACTTAGTATATATGCTGATGGAAGCAGCTCTTCTACCACTATCCTGAACACCAAACTCAGCTGACAAAAGCACTCTGCTGTTGACACTGTTTCCACACAAGAGGGGTTCCTGGCAAGACTGTGTCAGCTAGGCAGTGTGTTCTTTTTATACCCCAAGCCAATATAGCTATGCTAGCAAAACTTTGTTGTGTAGACCCAACCTAATTGTCTAAAGGTATAAAATCAAGTACAACTCAAACATAGCTCCAGGAAGGTCAACAAAATTAGTGCAGGGATAATTTTTGGCCCATTAAGCTCAAGTAGGAGAGGAATGTCAGAGCCAGCTAAGGTAGGGCTTCACTGTTTTTAGGAAACAGATGTGATTTCTCTCCACACACCTGTTGCCCAGGTACACCCAGGGGTATACCCTGTCCAAAAGTAGAAGGGCTGGTGTGGTCAGGCAAGAGTGCTGTGAGAGAGGCCTGCCACCAGGGAGCGGTTCTCTCTTTTCTCTATAGAGGCAGGCTGGGACAAAGCACTTGACGATATACAAATGTATTGCTACACAAAAATAAATATGAATAAGAGACATTAAATATTTACAATAGAATTGGTATGTGACACCACATACAATAACCTGCAGTCAACACATTGCACCACTTTGAGGGACTCAAAATCATAGAACAGGTAAATGGGAACTGAGTACAGGTGATCCACAGCGCAGGCAATAATAAACCCCCCTGTACAGATGAACATTAACACTCTGGAACAGGTAAGTCAAGGCATCAACACAGTAAACACATATAAGCATTAACTCACATAAACCCAGGTAAGTTGAGGTAGCAATGCAATAGATGTATACAGGCAACCATACAGGTAAGTTCAGTTAATAGACAGTAAACATATATAGGCAATGACACATGTAAACCAATATAAACCCCCTTAAGGAGAACCCATACCTATATTAACATAAACAGCACAAAGCAAACATCGATCAGCACCCCACAGCATGTTCCCTGGAGTTCCTTCCCTTTAGGGTCCGGGATGTGGACATGTTCCCCCACAATGGAGGCGGGTAGAGCCTGCAGACCCTCCCATCCCAAGGCCACCTCCCCTGTGGGACCCGCTTCCCCAGAAACTCATGCTCCTGCTCTGAAGAAGACAAGGCTTATCGCCTGGTGACCATTCGCAATGTCACCACCAGCTCTCAGCCTGCCCAGCCTCCTGCTGAGGCTTCCTTGATGGCTCTGTGGCCTGCTCTGGGCACCGAGGGCTCTGTTGGCTAACCCAAGCCACACTACCCAGGCTTTGGCTGTCCAGCCTCACGCCAGGGCTTTCTGTCCTGGTTTCCACTCCAGGCTCCGGGGGCTCTTTCCACAATGCCAAGCCGTGTTAGCAGCTTCAGCTGCCTGGCCTCACACTGGGACCACTGGCCCAAGCCACCCCAAGCAGCTCCCAGGGCCTGACTCTGTGCACCGTCCCTGTGCACCATGGGTGGACCAGAGCAGCCTTGTGATGCTCCCAGGGTCTGGGCTCCATGCACCGATCCGTGCACTGCTGGTGCCTCCCACTGCTTAGATCCCCAAGTGGCATCTTCAGGGGCTCTCCACGGCACTGGCTCAGCCTGCTGGGCTACTCTCCCCAGCCCTTCTGGGCCCCGCTCTTCTTGAGTCCCTTGTTGTGTCAGCACACTGGGCTTTTATTTACATAGGAGGCCCTGCCCCAAAGTCTGCCGGACCTGCAAAGCGCAGTCTTTAATCAGGTCCAGGGACTCTTCGCCCTGCCCCTTCAAGCAGGGGAGGGGCAAGCCCCTCCCAGCTGTTACCTGATTGGTGGAAATGTTCCACCAATCTGAAGTGTCCTTCTCCAAGCCTGGCTTGCCAAGCGAAAGTGGCAAACCCACCACACACCAAACCCTCAGCTACCAGTAGCAGAAAAACCAATTTCTAAAAACCAGTCAAACCCAAGCCACTCATGAATTTAGTATGTTTAGGGAATTTTCTGGGGTCTTCAAGACTGCTATCAACATCTCAGCATTTTTAGCCCTATTATGACCATGGTACTTTAGATTGTACAACTTTGAAACATAAGTCCTGCACAGAACGTCCTGTACAAACAAGTCCTAAAGGGAACAGTTCTTGGGACTAGTCTTCCTGATTCATTTAGGGCAATTACACAGCTCTGTAACTGTCTTTTTTCAGCCCTTCCTTATACACAGTTTGAGATTTAGCTAAGGGTAAACAAGTGTCTACACACCTACTTAGCATGCTAAATAGACCCGTGTTCTGGCTGGACATGTCCACTGTGCTATATTTTTGCCCAAGTATGTATATAAGTTGCAAGCAAAGGAAGTTTAGATTAGATATTAGGAAAGACCATCTCACTAGGAGGGCAGTAAAGCACTGGAACAGGCTACCCAGAGAGGCTGTAGAATCTCCATCCTTGGAGGTTTTTAAGAACCAGCTAGTCAAAACCTTGGCTGGGATGATAAAGTTAAAGACAGTCATTCTTTGAGTAGGAGGTTGGACTAGATGACTGCCTGAGTCCTTTCCAACCGTCATTTTCTATGATTCTATGATTCTGTAACACTGGGTAGTCCCAAAATTGTAGCCAGGCAAAAACCCAGCATGATTTTGGCAAAAGAGGAAGACAGCCCCACCATGTTTTAGCTCAATAGAATAGTGATTAGGACACTCACCCAGGGCATGGGAAACCAGGTTCTAGATCCCCCTCACACAAAGTAGGTTTGAACCCACCAGGCCACAAGTTAGATATTAACCACACCACTTCCCAGCTCTCCGCTTGAAACTTACTCTCTGGAGACAGAGAAAGAAAGTATGTCGCTCAGTGAGAAGGGTGCTCCTCATAGGCAAGTGGTGCCGCCTTAGTTGGGGGGGCACATGCCCCCCTTACAACCAGTCCCGCCAACTGGGGGGGTCCCTCCATAGCTGATCCCGCCAACTGGGGGACAGGGGGATGGGTCCCCCAGGCAATCTTGTGGGCTGCTTCAGCTGCTTCTGGGAGCAAGCGCTAGCCGATCCCAGAAGCAGCCGCAGCCACTCCCAGAAGTGACTGCAGTGATTGGCTGGTGCTTGCACCAGCTCTCCCACATGCTCCCCCTGCCCATTGCCTAAGCTGTGAGTGCAGCCAGTCAGGGGGTGCATGTGCAACCCCGTGCACCCCCTACATGTCACCACTGGTGCTGCTCCACATGGGAGCAGGGCTTGGGTCCTGGCCTGAGCCCTTGTCACTGCTGGAGTAGAAACTTTCCTGTCCTCCATCTATATTCCAAGGATAATAAATGCAACATGAAGTGGGCCAACTTCATGTGGCGGGCCGAAAAGGTTCATGGTCTGCTGGCTAGCACATTGTGCTTAAAAGCAGAAATGTAGATTCAACCATGCTTGGGATGAAGGGGGAACATAAAATATTGTTCTTCTGTTTCCTGGGTGAATACCCTAACCTTTGGGATAAAACACAGGAAAGTCCTTCTCCTCACCACTTCCAACAGATATGCCTATAAGACCAAATGGCAAAAGAGAATCTGAAACTGTGTATAAGTGCCAAAAATGGAAATTATGTGGCTGGGTAAATGCCAGGTAGGCATGCAAAGTGAAATGGGATTCCAGCCTTAGAGTAACATATTGATCTGTATATCTCTCTCAGTTCTCATGTTGGCACCCATCCCCACAGTACCCTGTTGAGCAAAACTGAACTATAGCCAATAACATCAAGCATGCCAGGATTTCATTCTGACAAGTTTTCAAGATTAAAATAAATATTTTAAAAAGCAGTCTTCTTTTCCTCTTTTGCATGCAAGAAACATGATTGTGGATTTTGTTGGTGCTGTTCTCATCTATGTTTATTTTTTTCCTAATAAAGCACATGTTAGATACTGCTAGTGGTAATATTGAAAGAAAATAAAGAGGAAAAAACCCACTT